AGAAAAGCGTTTTCTAAGATAAGAAAGGGTGTGGTGCATGCAATCGACCGAGCTCAAGTAGGTTTCTCCCAAAATACCCATACATATTGTCTGGTGTGATTTGATTTATGAACCTGTGAATCGCATGCTATTTAGGGCCAAGGATCTGCTTAATTTTTGCATGATAGAATGCTAGGAGAGATGCCTTATATGCCTATTGTATGAGCTTGTAGACTTGCATGCTAGTTCTAATTAACTAGTGGTAGGTGGGTGTGATTTGTGATGCCTTGTAGCCTAGGAAGCATGGGATGCTAGATTGGGTATAATTTGTATGCATAAGGCAATCGGTAGCATGAGTGGGAGCTCCTAGTATGAGTTGTAGTATGTGGGATTGGATGCTCGTGATTGTTCTATAGATTGGAATGTTACTGCATGAATGCTGCTTCCTTTGTGCTTTGCGGAAATCATAAGTGATGTGAGTTAGCTATTAAGTGAATATGTCAAGTCACATGTGGCAAAGGTTGGATAATCTTAGAGTGACGGATTTGACCCTATTGTGCAGCTCTCTTTTGAGTCTAACCGTTGTAGGGATGAGTCTGTTACTCGAAGGATTATCTAATATTTTTTGCATGTGATTGTGTTCATGAGGTAGCTAACGACATTATGAGGAGTTCTTCAGCAGCTGAGGGCAGGGTGAGGTCGGGAACCTAGGAAAGCCTAGAAGGTGCTTTGGTGGGTTTAGTTGCGCTGTTTAGCGATCATGTGGAGTATCAGTTTGAGAAGATGACTTAGAGGATTCGGGAGGATTCTTGAGGAAAGTATGGATAGGTGTGGAAGGTAGTATTGGGCCCGTACTACAGAAAGCACAGGATCCATACTCGATTGGGGGAGAGTCTTGGAAAATCTAGGAAGCCTGTGGGATGAGAATTTTTGGTCAAATCAAGGAAGGGATTTTGGAACTCTTGGATGGTCGTCTTGGGGCCTTTCGGGCCGAGTTTGTAGCAGGGCAGTTGGGGGCTCATCTGGAGCCCAAGGCTTGTGGATCCCTAAAATCCTTCAGGAAGGAGGATCCTATTGTTAGTTCTTGTCTTTGGGAGCAGAGGGGAGTTTTACACCATGTCCTCAGGTTGGTTGAGGTAACTCAGGAGGAGGAGGTCAGGATTCCTTCAGGTGCTTTTGCGGGTTCTGATCAGTATGTTCACCATCTGGGTACGTATGTTCGTAACCATAAGCTAATAGACGTATATATTGAGCATGGGAAAACAAACTTACATACTTATTCTATGTCCCCCAACCCTAGTAAGGTTAAAATTGTTGAAATTAAAGAGCCACCAACTTGCTCCAAAAGGTTGTTCTTGGAGTGGCATGACTCTCCAATTGAGCATGAGAGTATTCCAAACCTAACCCTAGTTGACCATGAGAGTGTTCCAGACCAAACACAAGTTGAGAATGACAGTCACTTAGACAAAGAACCATCTGTGGTCGACCATGTTGATTTTGAAATGAATTTAGAGAATGAGGATGATGATGATGGTAGTGGACACAACAATGGTAGTGGAAGTGATGAGTTTGATGATGATAGTGAGAGTCAAGATAGTGATTTTTTTATTGATGAGGACAATCTCATACACGATGTTGATGTGGATATGAAAGATTTCCATATGAACATTGACAAGGATGTAGAATGGGTTAGAGGTTCTTCTGAAAGTAATGTACCTGAAGATACACAACAAGGTGACTTGGAAGTGATTAACACATAGGTTTTGTTGTCTGAGTCTTCATCAGATGAGGAAAATGATGGTAAGCGAAGGAAAACTATTAGAGCCATACAGAGGGCTTATGAAAATGATGCAGCTTTGGTTAGTGAGCATTTCTACATTTTTCAAACTTTCAGTTCATCTAAGGACTTTAAGACACAAGTGAAACTACATTCCATAAGGACAAGAAGGGAAATACAATTAGAGAAAAATGATAAGAACAGGGTTAGGTTTATGTGTAAGGGCACTATACCAAATCTTGCTACTGATGAAGAAGAGAAATGCCCATGGGTTATCTAATGTAGTAAGTGGAAGCGTGACATAAATTGGATGGTTAAGACATACACGAAAGAGATCGATGTCTACAAACAAGGAAAGTCAAAGCATGTGACTATAAGTTCCTTTCAGAGCATATAGTACAAGTTATTGAAACAAACCCAAAGATTCCTATTAGGGCTTTACGAGAGCAACTCCGACGTGAGTACCAGATGGACATTTCACATATGAAAACTTTTAGGGCAAAGCAGGAAGCTTTAAAGCATGTTCAAGGAGATTATGCCAGC